ACAAAAACAGCATTATAATATGACTCCAAAAGCACAAGCAATGAAAGAAAAAAGAAATATATATATATATATTGGGGCAGGGATGGGTGAGGTGGCACATGCCTGTAATTCCTGCACTTGGGAGGCCATGGATTGCTGCAAATTCAAAGTCAGCCCTGGCTTTATAGTGAGTTCTATGTCAGCCTGAGCTACATAGCAAGACCCTGCCTCAAAAACAAAAAAACAAAATTGGGGCTGGGAATGTAGCTCAGTTATAGAGCAGTTGCTTATCTGCAAGTTTGAGATCCTTGGTTTGATTCTTCAGCATTGCTGGGAAAAAAATGAGAGAGATAAATTGCATATCATCAAAGATAAAAGCTTGATGCTTCAAAGGACATCATCAAGAAAGTGAAAAGATAGCCAGGTGTGATGGCACGCAGCTATAATCCCAGCTACCTGGGAGACCGAGACAAGAGGATCACAAGTTTGAGGTCAACCAGGACAACTTAGACCCTGTCTCAAAAACAAAAAATGAAAAGGGCCAGCGAATGTAGTTCATTATAGAGGATGTGTCTAACACGCACAAGATCCTGGGTCAAATCCTCAGTACTGCTAAAAAGATGAGAAAGAAAGTGAAATGATAACCCATAGAAAATTCATATATATCTAATAAGGGGCTTGTATCTAAAATATGTAAAGAATTCTTGCAATTCAATAATAAACTGAGGCTATGCAGGTGCCACCGGCTACCAACGATGTCATTGGTGTACTAAATGACACCCTCTTGAATTCAACCCTCTTGAATCACTGCAGAGTTCTCTGGCCATGGACAGGAAAACAATGCACTTCAGAAGATTGTGGCACATTACTAGCATCCCTTTCAGACATTAATAATTAGTTCAGGCCATTATCACTTTGTATGAAATATCCTCCCCCAAGTGACATCACTCAGGTCTGCAGGCCTCCATTCAGCGTTGTCAAGTTCCAAAAGCCTACGTGGAAAGGAACTTTGACTCTTTCAGGTATTCTGTATAACTGAGCTGAGAGACTGAGAGGCAATCTTATCTCTTTCTCTGAGCCTCTTTCAAAGTGTTAATGTAATACTGAATTTCTCTTATTACATAACCCTTGTATTCAAAGTTCCTCAGCTACAATTTTTCTTTCTCTTAATTTATACCCAAATATTTCTATCTTTGGAAGGGACAGTAGGTTTGCCCACATTCTGGTCTAGATTGTAGGCAGCAATACTTGGTAGACTAGCAAATATCTCCCCCTCAGACCACTCCCATTCATCTAGGGTAAGGTACATAGGAGGTATTACCTATACCTGGTATTACACAATACCAGGTATTACATTTACATTCACTGCTAGACCCAGTGTTGTGAGCTGAAGTAAAGCTATAACCTGCTCCACCTGATCCCTAGGTTTGTATCTAGCATATGCCCCGTGGGTCAAGTGTGGTCCCCAGCTGGTGGTGGTACCATTGGGAAGGTGGTAGAAACTGGAAGAAGTAGGTCATTGGGGGCATACATATCTATATCTAGACATAGATAGATAGATACATAGATAGATAGATAGATAGATAGATAGATAGGGCTATAGATGCCATGTTATGGTTCATGTCTAGATGCAATCCTTGTCTTCAACACCACCCTGGCTTGGAGCCAGCCGATTATGCACTGAAGCCAATCTGAACTGTAAGCTAAATAAACCTTTCCCAATTTAACTTTGGGTGTTGGGTATTTTCTCTCAGCAGGCAGGATATGTTATATAT